GTGTGTGTGTGTGTGTGTGTGTGTGTGTGTGTGTGTGTGTGTGACTACTCGTCCTCAACATCCTGCCATTAGTCAAAAGTTAAAAAAAGACCAAACAATGGTTGAACAGAGGTTTGCTTTATTTATGGAGAAACACAGTTTGTCATTAAGACTTACATTTTGTTTGAGCCCACAGACTCAAATACTCTAGTATTTTTGTTCATTTTGATCTATAAAATCAATGCTTATTCCAGCCAGTGTGGATAACAATACTGCTGATCATCACAACACAAAACTTGCTGTACATTTCCCTTTTTTTGTCGTTTTATTTTGTATTCTTTTTACACCGTAGACACATTGTCTACTCAAACAAGAGACCTACATTTACTCCACGGAGGTGACCACTGCATTTCTCCACATCAGAAAACAACAAAGTCTGTGATTTATAAAGTTTGTGTGACTAAACCTGAGTATTACACTGAATTCTGTTTATGTACAGTCGAGTTAGGTGTGTGTGTGTCTGTGTGTGTGTACGCTTCGCCGTGGCATTTTGTACACCAGCAATTCTGAACGGTCGCGCGAAACCGCACGACGCTTTTGAACCATTTTTCAACAGATATGTTGTCACATCTGGAGTCACTTTGGTTTCGCTCTGTTCCCACAACAACTCAATCAGAACTTAATGAAACTGACAATATCATCCTTAAAGTCCTCAATAAAACAGGCCTCGGATGCAGAAATTACTAAATTACACTGTGAATAATTAAATAGTCAAACAAATCACGACTCAACACACCTGTGCTTTGTGAACATTAAGAGTTGCTCATTAAATCAACTGTCAAACATTTCAATAAACACCAACTTAAGAGCGTCGGAGTAGCGAACATTAAACACAAATCTCGGTTGGACATGGAAAATTCTGAATTAGTCCTTCAACCACCAGGCTAAAACCGGATTTGTGTTTTTCGCCTGGCTACTCCTAACTTCCTGTGTGGATTCACCGTCCTGTGTCCGTGTAAACACACAAGTCGTTCATCGACAGCATGTGCGCTAAAAACCATGAGACTATGTTTGACGAAGCCACCGAAGAATAACTTTGGCAAGTTTCATTAGGCAAAATATATCCAAAAATACTTAAGATTCCCATTAAAACGTTCATTCAGAAGAAGAAGATGCATGGGTTGCAACGCACAAATTATCTGAAGAAGTATATGAATAACCCAGGTGTTACATTTCTCTATATATACACACACACACGTGTAACTATCTACAGAGAGGACACGATGCTTACTGCTGTACACAGGGAATCTGTGCACTTTTAAGTGGCACATAAACGTCCCTGCAAAGTAACTACTGTACCCAGTAAGATTTAGTACATACCAGTGGGCTACTCCCAGTGACACATAGTGTCACAAACATTATGGCATTATTACCCCCCTCTCCCATTCATTTAAATAAAACTATTTTCATATTATACATTTCATATTTTATTACATTCAAGGTATAGATACAATTTGTATCAACAAGCAAAAGTCAATTCTAGACATTTGTGGCTTAGCTGTTTGCGGCACATTGAAACCAGAAGGAAGGGGTGCAACGTCACCAATGGTGCCTTAGAGTTCGAACCTCTGCATCAGGAACACTGGAAGTATTTTTTTCAGCAACAGAGAGAGGTTTACTTCAGCTGTGGGAGCAGTCCATTGCCCAGAAATCTCTGGAATACGCCTGTAAATATTCTCATCGCAAAAGATGTACTTTTGACTCAAATTTCCAGACTTTCAGTAGTTTTTTTTTATAGTACTTCAAAAATAAAATAGTAATGATGAGCACATTTCTTTTTTATCCGAGGTCTTACTTATTGAGTCTAATCTAGTACTAGTAAAACAAAGTCCAGGCTCTTTGAACAAAATGACAGAATTACCATGATTATCTCCATATATTCAAAATATTTTATAATTACTAAGTCATTTTCTGAATGGTAAATCATTGATCAGGTAAAATTACTCGTTTTTGATTTAATCCCTGCATTGCAATGTCTATTTTGCGTTTAAAAAGGAGTTTCAGTGCTTCGTTTAGCATAAGTCAAGGTTAGGAGGTGAATCTGGTTTTAGAACACAAATATTACTTTTGGAGAAATTTTTCAAAATCTTATCTATATGTCTGGATTTTTCTTATCTACGGACAAAAATGAAGTAATTTAGCTCAGGGTTTTAAATTGCAAAGTGCAAAATAAGTGGAGAAAAATCACTTAAAAAAGGAAAAAAGAAACTTTTTCACATAGAATTTGATCTTCATTTGAATTATCCACATGCACAACTAAAGCTACACCGCTGACTTCATGAAATTTTTACTTGCAAGGGACGTGTGATTTTTCTGTTCATGCTAAATAAAGCAGACACTTTACAATCAAGTACATTTTTTGTGGCTAATATCACTAAGCTCACCTTAACACACGTTTGGTAATTACTCCGAGTTCATCTGGGCAAAAGACTGTTCCAGTTTTCAGATTAGACAACAGCATTACTTTTTTTAAATCTTCATTTTAATACAAGTTTCCTGGGTTTCAGATTCACTTTTTTTGTCCAGATAATCCAGTAATCTCCAGGGGGAAAAGGATGGCACGCAAACCTTTAGCCAAATGCCAGAAACAACCTTGACAGCAGCCTTGCAATCTGATTGTTTCACATGTAGAAACATTTAGGCAGTTTGTTTCACCTTCTCATGAACAGACAGACGGCCTCAAGTGGCCTCGTCTTTTTTCATGAAAAAAACAAAGTCAGCAAAGCCCAAAAACGTCGTTTGGGCAGAACACATTCAACATTTTTTTCTTCTCTTTATGCGCTATGTCTGCTCATATACCACGGTTGTACCCAAAACATTAAAAATAAATCCATATTTTAAAGCACCACCGAGAGGCTCACACAGTTAGCGCTGTTAACGAGTAATACCACCACAATGCTGTTTTTCTTACCAACTGGGGATTTCTCATATTAAAGAACATAGCAATAATATATGACCTTCTTGAATCCAGAAAAATGAGTGGTATTTCCCTTTAAAAGCAGGCAAAGTGCGGCCCTGCTATGCGGTTTGGCTTTCACGGTGCAACTTCACTGACTTCTGTAGCTGCCTGTTTCACGGTTTGTCCTGAAGGGGGCAGCACAGCGGAGGCAGGTGCTCATTAAAATAAGGAGATGGGGACCTGCTGAATCGCTGACAAGATTTCTGGTCCGAACCTCGCCACTTTACTTCACATTTTGTGTTTCTGCCTCACATAAACAACTAAATAATCCCACTGAAGTTGCACAGCGTGAAAGCTCAACCCTATAGCTCGCTGTTCAGGATCTTAAGGTGCATAAAGAGAATATACAGAAAAGTACAAAGTTTTGCAATGCCATTGCTATATTGAACTGTACATAGCTAACTTTTGGGTTTTACTACATATTACATGTAGGATTTTTCACAAAATAAACCACTGCTAGATCAGAACACACTGTGGATGGTAACCAATGGTTTCTGGCATAAATAGACTTTAAATGGAAAATCTGAAAGCATCCTGAGAGCAATGTGCTGCAACGCACAGCCTTCCATACTACTTCTACTCTGGCTGCATGTATGCATGTGAAATGTGTTACTGTACACACGTGTGTATTCCAGCAGTCAAGCCTGCCACTAAAAGCCCTACAGGAAGTTCTGCCTCTAAATTTGCTTTATTGGCTTATAAGAAAACCCTTTTGCTTACAGTTTTGAAGACGTAGTCTACAAGATGTGACGATAATTACAGCCTTTACAGCCTCGTTACATCTGGAAAATGCAACGTCATAAAATCAGATGCAAACGTTAAACTGTGATGGCTGACACTGCTTCAGTGTGGCAGGTTTTAACAAATATCTACTGCATTTTCAGCAATCCTCTGCCTTAAAATTAATTCATCTTTTATAGCAGGAAAATAATCTCAAACTAAAAAAAAATGTTTTAATCCAAAAGTTAATTTAAAGTACTATCTGTCTATGTTCCACTGGGGTTAAAAAAAAAAAAAAAGTGACATGACACAGAAGCCAGTTTCGGTTAGCCATTCATCAAAATTGGAAACACAAGAGAACATACCATTCCACACAAAAAAAACAGCTACTTACCTACCTCTGCTGATAAAATATACTCTTTAAAGTCTACTTTAAAAAGTTGAGCCACAAAGCAGCAGCTTGTTCTGGACTTTCAGACTTTTCAGAGGAACAACTAAAATGTAAAACCAGACCCAAGTCACAAATCTCAAAAGCTCCCTAATCTATTGGTACAACATTTTCAGTCTGAGATTCTGTTACTGCAAAACTATTAATATCTTTTAAGGGGTTTTCCAACAAATGTGGAGGACGCCGTTTACCGCCGCGAGAAAAACTCCCTTCTCAAAGACTGAACACACTGACATGCACATAGGAAGCCAGGTTGGTTAAAAGATGAGCTTAAGGCATGAATTCATTACATGGACCATAATAAGCCACATTATATTGGTTTTCACAAAGCATAGATTCTTAACTTACATTAGTTTGCATACAATTAGCCATGTTTTTATCCCATCTAAAATTTGATACCTACTGAAACTAGATAGTGTCGTCGGCTTCTAAAACGTAAACTCAACCACGTCTAGGAGGGAAAATGTTACAAGTCATCTGCAAATCCTCAGGAGCGTTTATTGTTAGAGTGTGAGTGATTGGCTGCCCCTATAAACTGCGGACACATAAGTTTTCCACCGTAAACGCTTTACTTTCCACTGTATACTTTTTGAGCCCGGACTTCGTCAGAGAAACACCGTCCCACTACCTCAAGCGACACATCAAGGTTTAAAACTGTTACGGTTTCATAACCACTGAGATCTTCTTTCAAGCTGTGCTTACAGTTTACATTGAAAAAAACTAGAGTTCACTGGAGCATTTATTTCTACAGTTGGGAAAGGCTTTAAACGTGAAAACTGGAAAAAAATGGAAGGGAGGGAGGAAGCGGGAGAGGGATGGAGGAAAAAAATGAAGAAAAGAAGGAGACAAGAAAGAATACAAGGAAGGATTGAAAGAAGGAATGTAGAGTAAGGAACTAATGGTGGAGAGAAAAAAAAAGACAAAAACAATAAGAAAGGGAGGAAAGAAACATTGAAAAATGGAAGAACAGATACACAGAAGGATCGGAAGGGAGCATACAATATTTAAAAATGAGATAGATAAATAGAGTACGGAAATACAAATCATTTTTCCTGGGGTTTTTTTCGTACTAATCCAGACCTGGAAAATAGGAACCCCTGTCACTCGCCGTCGCGCTCTGCTTGTCAGCTGGCTGAAAGAAGGCTACTTGATTTTCCTTGGCTTACAACAAAGACAAATGTGCCTGTTTGAAAGTATTTTCTATCACGGTGTGAAAACTGAAAGAGTACATTGCCCAATTAAATCCGGAAATACACTTATTTTAATTGTGGCATGTTCTATGCATTTGTGGTGAAACTGGGGTCTCACTGCATTTCTCACACTGGCGCCTTCCTACCTGGAACAACTGAGTGAGTGTAAAAAGTGTGAAACTTAACCTGCTCCTGAAAACCCAACGGCGTCACAGAAAACTTGAAGTTGACAGAACTTCTGCTAGTTTGAACAAACATTTAGTGATGACTTTTACACTGAAAACAACCAGCACAAGCGATTCGACAGATTTATTCCTAGTCAAATCCTGAATGCTGCATATAATAAGGTCAGGAAAGGAACTTTGAAATCCTAAATACAGAACTATTTTTGATTATACTCCAATCGACCCTAAGAAACAAATTGCAATAATGCTAGTTCGTACCACTATAGAAATTCTGTTTATTTTTTTTATTTTTTTGGCATTTCCTAGCAGCTGATAAGTAACTTTAAAATAATGGCTTTCGTGAGATCATCTGTACATAAATATGTGCACGCATCTACAAGTCAAATCTCTGTTTGGCTTGCTTTGTGCACAGTCAAATCCTACCAAAATAGTAGCTTTTTTGAGAAAATATATCTCTTTAGATATTGTGATAGTGCTTTACATTTGAAAATTAGGAGGCTTTAATGACAACGTCCACTTGAACCAATCAGACAATGACTAAAGCGTGAGGTCATTCAGATATAAGGCCATAAAGTCATAGGTCATGCTGTGAGGTATATACCTACCTCCCTCTTACTTCATTTGAAAATAAATGCACAAAAATATATGTATATATATTTATATATCACAAGTACTATGTACAGCAGAGGCATTGCAACGCAAGACTATTTATAGTTCCACTGCACCAGAAACAAAACATGTTCACAGGGCCTGAGCAGCGTCTTCAGGAAAGCTACATGTGGACAAACACAGATGTGTCCTTGACGAGAGTCATTGCCAAACAAATTGTTGCCATGTGACCAGCAGGTTTAGGGTTAAACTAGCAAGCTAATTCATAAAATAATAATATATAGCGAGAGCATTTCAATTATTATTAAACCTAACTATTAGAGGGAGTTTAATACTTCTAAAAATGCTGGTTTCTTTTGCACACACAATAAGCCTCGATACGTACGGAGGTTTCTGCAATGCTTAGTCACAATTTGGTTTTTGTTACCTTCGAGGCCATTTTCAGTCAGCGAGCTAAACAAGCAATCCTTCATTTAGCCCTGTTAGCAGCGTAAGCAGAAGAGGCAACGCCAGGCCAATTAGAGAGGAAGCTATAGCTAAGGTAGCAAAGTTCAGGAAAGAGATGCAGCAACTGAGCTGTGTCACCTTTAGCAGCTTAAAATGCCTCAGAAGTACATCAGAGGATAACATGGCACTGCCATGAAAACAGAGTATCTTTGGCGAGTACAACTAACTTCACCATTTCTACAAAAGCAGCAGCTTTAATGTAGCTGTGTACTGACGAAAAGAAAGGAAAGGAATGTGTTCAACTTGTTGCTGTATTTTGAGAGCTGTGGAAATTTGACAAATTGTTTCTCAAGACTTTTCATTTTGTTGTTAAGAAGTTATATGCCAACACAAGGTTATGTAAAAGCAAATTTATTTGCAAATAAAAATGTGAACACTGTGGTGTGCATACTTATTCAGCCCCCTTAGTGAACAGAAGCATCTTTTACTGGAATTATAGCAATAAGTCTCTGTTAAAATTTTGCTTATTTTTTATTAAACTATCTCAAGTTTGTTCAGATATGAACAGCAAGTTATGCCACCCAATTTTAATGGAATTCAGATCTGGACTTTGACTGGACCTTTTCTAACACAAGAATATGCTTTGATATAAATCCTACCATTGCAGTTTTGGCTGGATGTTTAGATTGCTGTCCCTCTATCCACGTATTACCTTTTTACAGCTCCTAACCAGTTTTCTTGAAGGACTGCACCATCATTAGATTCATCCACCTTCCCTTCTCCCTCTGAAGAAAATGATGCTGTCACCATGGAGATGGTGTGTTCAGGGGAATGCTTTTAGACCTTTTTGACACATCTGAAGGCAACAGGTTGCACTGGATTTTATTTAGGGTTATTAGATTAAAAGAGACTAAAAACCTTTGCATATCACATAACTCTTCAATAAACACACTGAAGTTTCTGGTTGTAATGGGACATAATTTGGCAACGGTTAAGGCATATCACCACATTTATAGCTACCGAGTCTGTTTTAATGAGTACATTCAAATATAAGAAATGCTATGTGAATGTTTAAAAAAATTCAATACTTATTAAACGTATTAACACTCCGTTAGATATTCTCTAAAACTGAGCGACACTGAACAAATGTAGCTTTGCTGCTCCTGCTCAGGCGGTGTGAATGTGTTATGAATGAGTTCCTTAAAAAGAGTTCCACTTTTCATATCGGCTACACTACACTTCAGATAAAAAACATCTTCTACCATGAGTTTGTTTTTCTTTTTTACCGCCAATATATGCCATTTTTTCGTAGACCTATAATCTGATCCACACGATTTCCAACAATACAAGACAGAATAAGAAGCTCCTGAGAGCTGCACATGCAGCCACAGCGAATAAATGCCTAATCTCTGATCAAATTCCTCATTTACTCTAAACGCTGCTCAGTGGCATGACCTCAGTTTTGTAACGATCACAGCTGCGAGCTGCTGTGGATCTGTTAAATGAGGGTTCTTCTCCATGACCGAGTGGACGATGTACGCGGGGAAGATGTTGCAGAGGTTCCTGTATGTTTGGTACTGGTGATCTGGAATGACGTACCGCTCTTGGTGCTCGGCCGCGGACGGGTTCTCCCACGGCGAGTTCCAGATTTGCTCCATTTTGTCTGGCATGCTGCGGACCATCACCCGCTCGCAACACGGCATCAGGCTGTTACTGAGCGGATACGAGTGATATCCGTAGGACTCGTTGCCGCAGGGCAGCGGGTCCCAGCTCGCATGCTGCTCGCGGCACAGCGGCGGCCGCCTCTGCCTCATCGGGTTGCTGTCGTACAGCCGAGAGTCCGATATGCTGTCCATGCGCGTCATCCCTAGAGACCGCGTCGGCTGCGAGGACAATGGCGGCAGGACGTTCTGGGCGAGCGGGTAGTCTCCAGGACAGGAGGAGCGGGCTCCCACCGTGGCGTGCTGGATGTGAGGTGCGAGGTGCGCCCCGGACTGCTTGCGAGGACCTTGCTTAGGCTCCTCCTGTCCATAACTCTGGACTCTGGTGAGCGCGTCGTGGCGAAACCCGTGGGAGAAGGCCTGCATCCTCGCCTGCGCCGGAGCCTGCTGCTGCTGCCCCTTGATGCTCTCCTCCAGGCTGCTGTCCACGGAGCTCGGGTACAGCTCTCCGTAGGAGGAGAACGAGTCGCTGTTGGAGTGGCTGAGGCAGGACTCGGGGCAGTGGCTGGGGGTTCTCTGGTACACATGCTCGTGCTCCATGCTACAGAAACTGTCCACGTTGTGCATGCTGCTCATGCTCATGTTGGAAAAATCGCTGTGGAGCGAGTAGTATCCGTGGTCGCTGACCGAGTCATACTTGGGGAACTGTTCGCTGTACGTCACGGAGGCGCCGTGGCTGTTGGTGACTAAAATGGGGGGGTACTGTATGCTGGACATGTGCTCTAGAGAGTTGTGTGCAAACTGCAGAGAGCCTGGAACGGGGCTGCTGGCTGAGCGGGTGTTTAACGCCCCGGCTGCGTGGCTCTTGGCGGGCTGCATGGTGGGCACGCTGAGAGCAGACACGAGGGAAGGCACTGAATTCGTCTCGGACTTCCGGGCGACGGAGAGCGCCTCTACGGGTTCGCAGGCCACCGAGCGGATGCTGGGGTCGGACTGGCGTTTAGGCGCCACGCGTTTCGCTTCGGAGCCGACGTCCCCCTTAACGGCGGCTGGACCTGTACCACATTTAGCCAAAGCCCCTTCGCTCATTGTTTTTACCGCGGACAGTTTGGCGAAGGCTCGCAGCTCGTCGGCCACGGATCGCTGTGGTTGGTTCACACGCTCCGGATGGTAGTATTTGCACTTATGACCATACGTGCACTTTTTCCCTGGTTTAAAAAATAAAAAACAAAAACAAACAATCCATGTCAGCAACTTTAAACATTTAAGGCTTATGTGAGGATCTGGCGGTTTTAAACAGGAGCTCACCATAAGGGCAAGGCTGCTTTTTGTGCTCTGGAACCACAGGCCTCTTGCGGAGGAAGTTTTCTAAGCTCGGCCCATGTCTTCCCAGCGGATCATCAGGTGGCATAAATCTGTTACAAAGAGAACCATTAATTGTAACATTTCAACTAATTCAATGGGGAAAATTTGCCACAACATGAAATAAGTCATAATATCCAAATAACCAAAGATTACCATCCAGTGACCTGAAAGCTAAGGCTGTAGGTTCAGCATGGAGGAAATGCATTTTCCCGTTACAGATTTAGTTTACCTTTAGTTTGTTGTCACACTTGAATGTTTTAGATTAAAAAAAAATACAGCAGACAAAAAATCTGTATAAATACAAAATACAGATTTCTAATTAGTCTTTTACATGGCAGACTTTTCAGAATTGTTTCAATTTAGCAACATTGGAGAGCTTTAAAGCCTCCTTCAGTTTTTTTGAGCCATTTAAAGTTTAAGTTGAGCTTAAGTTCATAAACTGATGGCTCCACATTCACATTTAAGTGAAATGCTTTTTTACACCAATAAACATCTTTTAAATTAAATAATACATTTCTAACAAAGACCAATTCAACACAATTCATTACTTCAGTCATGCAGTGAAACAAGTCTAATGTTGCTTCTACCAAATTCTTACTTGTCATTGACAAATGAATACATCAGGAGGCGCTCTTCTATAAATTTTTTCCACTCTGGCTTCTCGTTTTGCAAGTCCCTGTAGTTGTCATTTGACACAATAATTCCATCAGAATCGTAAGCCAGCTTCACTATGAAGCGATCATCGTAGCACACCACTCTCCTGCCCTGGACTCTTCGAGACGGGGTAAAAACTAGGATCTTCTCTTTCTCCAGTTTGCGCAAGATTTCTTGATCTGAAAGACAAATTTATTGAAAATATTTAATAATAATAATAATAATAATAATAATAATAAAAAAAACTTAAGTCCTTGCAAAAGTATTTATACACATGGATATTTCCTTATTTTGACAGATTGCTAAGTGATACTTCAATGTAATCTATTGGAATTGTATATGCTAGACAAACACAAAGAGGCACAAAATGGAAGTGGAAAGAAAGTGGAAGAAAGACTATACAATGTTTATTACAATTAAAAATGTCATGGCAATTTGTATTCAGCCCCTTTCCTTTAAGGCCCCAAAATAAATAGTTAAGAGATAAAGTTCAGTTAAGTTGGAAAAACAACAAAACTCACGTTTAGAATGTTTTTTTTTCCCCCTCACTTTTATTCACTATTCAATAATTATTGCATTCGAAACCATGGCTGCAGAAGACCTAACCTGGGCCGGGCTTAACATTCCAGTAAGACTTGACCCAAAACATGAACCCAGATCTACAATGCAGTGATTTACATCAACTGTATCAGAAAAGCCCAGTTTAAGTTTAAACGTAAATCTAAACGAGGAACACACTCACTCGCAGATGTATTTACAGCAAAAGAATTTTGAAAATTTTCTGTTGGTCCAAAAATGCCAGAGCACTGAGGTTTGGTTGGACTGTAACCAAGTCTGAAGTTCAAGAAGTGTGAGGTGCTGTTTATGATTAACTTGTTATAATGGTTGTATTTCGCCTCCTAATCAAAGGGCCTTAACGTTCGGATGTTTTCCGTGATGTGGAAGAACAGCAGCTGCCTACAGAAACGTTGTATACCTGTGATGAGAGCGTCGGGTCTCGACTGCTCCTTCCTCCAAGCGGGGACAAACACAGTGATGTCTTTGTGTCCTTTCTCTCGAAACCACTCGACCGCCAGCTGGATACCGCGACAAGAGAAAACCTCCTTGTTCCCGTGGCTGGAAGAAGACAGCAACACTGAATGAAGTGGGATCACATCTATAAGAATAGATGCCGGTCAGATTGTCTGCATTACCTCATCGCCACGTTAGACCCATCGATGACGATGGGTCGAAGGTTATCGTACGTATCCACGGATTCTTCTTCTACTGAAACTTCCGGACTGACGGTTTCTTTCACACAGGGGGGCCGTGACGTTGACGGGGCGGCGGCGCTGCAGGGTTGAGCTTCGTGCTCCGCTTTATTCCCGAGGCGGACCAACTCGGCGAGAACGTCGTTGATGAGCGCCGTGGCCCCCAACTTGTTGAGCACCGTCTCCACCTGGTCTCCGGAGTAGCCCAGCTTCAAAGCAAACTCCATCTTGGTTTGGTACTCCCTTCCGCTGGCGGGCTTGAGGCCTGACGCGGCGCCGGCACTGCCGCCGCCGGAGTCGTCGTCGCGAAAGTCTTGCAGGGTGCTACTCTGGGAAAAGCTGGGCCGGTCGAGGCACGGAGAGCGGCAGAGCTGGCGGTGGGGTTTGGTGACGGCGAGGGGCTCCCTCTTCCTGCAGCTGCTGTTGCCCAGCTGAGCCCTGTGGGGCTGCCGCCGCCACTGGTGCTCCTCCGACTCGCTCTCGGAGCTGCTACCGTCCTCGGACTCGTCCGTGGCATGATGGGCCTCTCTTGAGTCAATGTTCTGCTCCCTGCATGGGCGTTTTTCCATTTTGAGCTTCTCCACCATGGACCATGCTGTCATCACGGCCGTCTCGGCGCCTCAGCTTTCCGCGCCATGCTTCCTCACCTCCGCCGCCGCCAAGGAATCATACTCGGTGTTGAGACTCGTTACGCAGGTCGAAATGGATGCTCTTCCCCTTTTCAGCAGACAAATTGAACTATGTAATCCTGTAAAAGAGCAAAACGCAAAGGGTCAGCATTGGCGATATGGATGTTTTCATGAAGTTGCCGTTTACTATCAAGACTATTTATTTTGCGTCAGATTAAAACGATGAAAAAAAAAAGATCTCATTTATTCTTTCAAACCCAATGTTACATTACAATGTCAATGCACAAATATAAATTATATATTCATATATACCACCAAATGCAACAAAAATACTACAGCAACGACTTTGCTCATGTTCCTGTTGAGCTTTTGGAGAATGTAAAATAACAATAAGCAGAAAAGTTTTACTGTCTCTTCAGCTGACTGCTGTTTAAAATGGAAAAACCCACAGGTCTGGTACAAAATGTGCTAATGCACCACAGAACAACTTGTGCTCTCCATGAGCACAAGAGCCTCACTGGTCTCACAAGCAATGTTTGAGCCAGTCACACATGAGGTGAGTGCACGAGTTAGAATAACCTGAAATCGTGTGGGCTGAGCAGCGTATCCCTGCGCCTCCAGCCCTCCGACAGACAATCGGAACTGAGTCGAATTCCACCGGGAGCGTGCGGGCTGCTTTTTAAGGTAAAGCAGTGCGGTTCTGCGGCGGAGCCTGCAGTGTACACCGTGCAGCACTGTTTTGCTTAAATACATTAAAAAACATTTAAAAACAAAAACACACAGATACTGATAAGCAAGCGTTTTATAGGAAGTGCTTTATTAAGAAGACACACTGGAACACACTTTCCTCTAGTCTTGCAGAGTACAGCGAGCTTCAAGCTTCAAGAGGCACAGCCCATGATGTGCGTTGCCTAGCAACACAGCCTTGTCATCAGCTAACTCCTTTTTACCAGTCACGACTAACACAAACACGGCTCATCATGTCTCTTTATACAGCCAGTAAATGCAGAACGCTTTCGGTTACTCCACAGTTCAAACGCAAAACATCCAGAGGCAGCAAACTTTGCAAAAACAAAAGCTGATAACACTGATTCTCTATCCGACCACTGAAAATAAGATATTTTGACTGCAGTAAATGCATGTTGTGCTATCACAATGCCATCCACTCAAAGAAATAATACACAGCGGTGTTGGGGGGGTAAGGGGGGCAGTCAAAAGCTAAATTAATGTCCTTATCTGTCTAAGTGGGCTTATGGGATCTGATTGCAACTTTTACGACGGCGGTGAAGGACGAGGCTATGGTCTGAATATCTAAACAGGAAGCTGAGAGGAAGGTGGCCGAGCCATTCGCTGTGGAACTTGGAGAACCGGTGGCAGATACGGTGAAACAGCTCACACTGCCTACTTTCACTTGAGTCATTTTATGACCGTGTCGACGCATGTTCAAAGTAGCAGAGCTCTTTCAAATCCTCTCCCTTCCACCTCCGGATTCACAGTCTTCGTCTCAGCAAGGCCTCTGGACCATCTCTGCATACGCATCATCTCATGTTTCATAGCAACAAGTTGGAGCAGGACAACGAGGACGTTTTTTTTTTGTTTTGCTTTTTTTCCGCCAGCACCAAGTACAGATGAACTAGATTGATTTTCCTCCGACGGATTCTGAAATCATTACTTGGAAATTTTCTAAAGTTACTTCCAGATAAGCGGCACATTATCAGCACTCTGGCTTCTGTATCAATTCGGATCAGTTTCGCTTTCAGTTCTTTTGCTGCTTTATGCAGAAATGCTGCAACTCGTCCCGAGAAAACGCTTTCCTAGAGCAGAAAACTGCCTGTAAGCAAAGTGAAGGGTGAGAAAAGAGAGCGACAAACAGCTTGACAATAATGTGGCAGTAAACACAGAGGAAAAGTCAATATTGCAATAGGCTAGATGTTTACCTGCTTAAAAGTCCATTAGCACAACCACATTCCTGGACACAACACAAAAAGGAGGACAGCTTTTCACTTCTAAATAAACAAAAATGTAAAACTATAACGTCTTTGTGATAGTGGATTTTTCTCATTCGGAAGCATCAACAAAAGAAAAATCTCTTCCAGGGCATGCAGCCAAGCGAAATATTATGATCCCATTACTGTTTTGGCTTTGATCAGATGATGGCACTATGCTCCCATCATCTGACTCATTGGACCAGTGACATTTCTGCTGCTGGGTCAGGAGGAACAGCTGATTGCCACCTTAGCATTGTTCCCCTAAATCTCACTGATGGACCAACCTGCTCGTTTATACACACACACACACACACACACACACACACACACCAAATAAATAACCTAACCTGGAAAATATCTGCTTACAAACAAGTCAAAACAGCACCTGGAAAAAAAAAAAAAAAAAAAGAGTACAATGGCCATCATTTTGAAAAAAATACAATCATAAAAGAATAACTTTTGGGGGGTTTAAATAGTTTATTACACCAGATATGACTACTATAACACTTGATAATTGCTCTAGCAAAGCAGAAATTTGCAAATGCTCTATCCATTTCTATGGAAAATACACAAGATAGAAACATAAGTGTTTGTCAATATTTGGTCTGCTCTTCCAAGTACAGAAGAAGTTATATATATTTTTTTATTCTAAAAACTGCAACAGAAAATAAAAAAAAAAGTTCAGCAGGTTCTTTGATAGTGGTTTTAAATTTGACTCCAACAGAAAATAAAATAAAGGTATGATGAGATTATCTCCATTTATACCTCAATATGTCCCCAATTTTTCATCTCATACTTCATAAGTGTACAACAGTGCAATGGAGAACATGCTGCTGGTTGTAGATTGAAACAAGAGGGGAATAACAGGAATAACCAGTTTCGATTTCCCTGGGTATTTCTTAGCATGAACTTGATCATGCAAACTTAACCCACTTATAATACTAAAAAAATAAACACTAGACATTTACTTCTTTAAAAAATATCCAAAAACATAAAGTTGTAAGAACAGACGAACCTAAATATAAGTTTTCTGAAAACGTTGACCGACTTTTACCTCTATTCATACACTAAACCCACTGACAAAGTCTCTCCTGGATCATTTTACCGAGTATTGAGGTCAATAATGCTGCACAGTGCATGCAGTCCAACAAGTTGACACGACAACACGAGAAAAAAAAAAGCATCTTGAGTGTAGACAACCTAAATAGGGGAAAGTTAAACGACGTGACAGCGGGTGAGGAATTATATTTATGCCACTTTTTGAACGACTGTTCAGAGTTCCGTACAGAACATTCCCTTAAAGCCTAAATTTAAGCAAAAATCCCCGCTTTGACACCCGCAGGCCCGGGTTGCGGTTAGCACACGATGCTATTCAAACATTCTAATATCACTGAGCTAACCTCAAACAACACAGCCAACGTTTCAGCAATACACATCTACCAGCTCAATGCGAGTTAACCTGTTGGGAAATGACTAGAAATTGATCCAATTAACGGTCGACATGAGTTACTACTATTCGGTCAGGCAACCCCCGGTATCTCAAGTTAACGGTATCGAAGCTATGCAACGCTGCTTAGCTAACGTCCCCTCTATTAGCCAACTTAGGGCAATCATAGGCTACCTTTAACGCCTCGATGCTAAAGCTGGTTAGCATCAGCTGCTGAGCATCTGCTAACAATTTAGCCGGATTACTACCCGTAACTTGAAATAAAGTTGACATTCATTTAATAATTAAGACGACGGCAAAGCAACAGCAACACATCACGACTCTCCTCACAGTGCGCACATACCTCGCTGCCATGGTTGGCTTCAGACGGCGCTCATCCTCTTCATCATCTCCTCTCACCTTGTTGCTGTCATCCTCCTCGCTTCTAACAGTTCTGTTTTGCTGCCATTGGCGCTGTCGCAGTTAGCTCGGGGTTGCCAGATAACGCGAGGGAAACAAGTAAATGGCACCGGGCTGAAAATAGCGTCGCTAACTTTGCTTTCTTTCTCTACCTGAATTTAGACGGTCGCTCCTCTTAGTTTGTGCGCTGAAAGACAAACTTACCCCTCGAAAATAAGAGCTGCGGCAAATCCATAAAGTTTTTCTCACGCTTAAAATGTATGTAAAAGTAAATACTGAATTTAAGATGTTATATCTTTATAAGCTGCGCTTGAGTGGTTCTGCAGTCGTATAAAACCTGAATAGACAGGCAAAATAGCTCATTTTACAAGGAGATTATGTAAATACTGCACATGGCACACAGGCCCCTCTGTCTTTATCCTTGTTTTATTCTGATGAAGCGGAACAACTCCCACTGTGTTTTAAAGTCCCTGTAATGAGCCAAAGTGCTGGATTGACCAGAAATTGGATGAAACAAATTTCAACTAATTAGTTTCCCAACCTGTTGCTCAACACTGCTGACCAACTAGCTGAAAAAAGGCAACACTTTCCCCTCTTTCAAATGATAAATTCAACTTTTTGAGAGTAAAGTACAGATTTGTGGTACAAAACTGAGCAGTAGACCTGATTTCAACATTGAAGGAACACAGATAAATTAGTGGTAGGCAGAAGTGGTCTAAGTTTTGACTTTCTCAGGTGTATGGTACATAAGAATAAATATATAATATTATACATAAGTATAAATATTCTAAAACTAATATTTTTGTTCAAGGCATCATACCAGCCCACTCTGAAAAGACTCCCTATCAACAGTCGGAATCATATGTGAAAGATAACTTTTACCTTTTTAAAACTGAGAACATCATTTAGCAGGTGTTTTAAACAACAGCCTTTACGTCAAAATATGCTTTTACACACCGACTTGTTGGAACACATTCATGCCAGAGTGTAGCATTTTTCCTGGCTGTGGAGCACAGAGCAACACAGCGCTGCCCCTCCCTCACATGCTGCTCTAAAAGCTGGCCACCTCACTAAAAGTAGGCTGCTACACTTTTCCCTCGTTTGCAAAATAAATGAATAAATAAAAATGAATGTTTGACAAGATTTCCTGTTGAGAAAAAAATAACAGGGTCCTTGTATGGAAATTACAGGAGTGCCACCAATCACTCCTATTACAGCAACTCTGTTTCAAGTAGGAATAGGGAAATAATATGAACAAATCAGCTAAAGCTACACATTTTTGTTAATAAATCCATGATATTTTAATTCATATAGTCTTGTGGGAATCTCATTCAGAGCCAAGCCTAACAAAGTCACATTTGCAGTGCAGGTAGCTTTCTATTTGCACAAACTTTTAGGTGTTTGAACCTGAAAATATGAACTTCTCTCAACTGGTGGTGTGAATATGTGTGGTTAAAATAGTTTTCACAGTCAAGGCACACTTTCAACCACAGACTTGGTGAACTGATTGCTGGTGAACTGGAAAAAAAAAGAGGAAAAAACAAAACTAGAGCTAAACTGTTGTCGTGTTTATTCTTATGTAAGGCAGTATTCTATTCAGACAAATTGTAACAGATTTTCAGACAGATAATGCAACTCGATAAAAAAGGAAAAAAAGAGTTGGAGAACTCAAAATACAGTATTGACAATTTGAAACAATTATGTCCACATTACAATCTACAAATAGTTGAAAATATAAATACAAATACATTGTTTCTGAAAATGCTGTTAAAAACATTGTTTCACAAGAAAATGACACAAGGTGAAACCAGCTTTCTTTAAAAATATGATTTCAAATTCAAACAAAACACTACTTGTTGATTCAGCACACTTGAATTCAATGACTGAGTGCATGTTTTTAGCTAGTATACGAAGTTTATCCAAATAAACGATAGGAGGAAGGGAAAAAAAAGCACAAAATGGTGGTTTTGGCCATTTCCAGGCCTGTAGCAAGCACAGTAAACATGTTTTCAACTTCACTTTTATTTAACTGCTTCTCTTTAGTATCTCTTAGATAAATATTATTTAGTCTTTTCCCCATTTGCATGAGAAATGAGCTAAACAAATACAGTAGTTTTGCCTTGCAAAGTTTACTACATGTAAATGAAATGTGACAGCTAAAGTTAAAACCCTATCACCATCGTTAACTAGAACCATCTGTATGTTCCCTACACTTATTTATGGGAGATAAATTAGCCAACAGGCACTTTTCTTTTTTTTTTTTTTTAGTTCCACTCAATGTATTTTAAATCTGTGACAAAACGTGTCTCTGTTTAAGAAAACTAAATTCAAGGCATTTGATATTTCTCTTTATGAATTGATAAACTGCTGTTTTTTTCCCTTATAACTAATCTGATGTGAGAATAAATCTATAGAGCTCAAAACAGACCTCACTACTGCAAGAGTGACTGTAAGCATGAACATGATCAGACATTTAAAGCAAAAGCATTCATTGCTGAAAGGCAGCAGTGGAAAAAGGAAGCCGCTGCACAATAAAACCCAGGCCGATGAGTGGCGATAATACAGAACAGAGTGTGAGATTTAGTGTTGAGACCTGAATGTCTACAACATTCCAGTTAAATTCAGTAGCTTAACGAGATGACAGTGTTGGCATTTTCACTGTAAATTACACAACCACCTCCTCAAACCCTTTCAGTCAGCATCTAAGAAAGTCGTGTGCAAACATACAAGGAGCAATGCTTTTTCTTTTTTTTTTTTTTTAAATTTGGACTTCAGGGCATTTTATTTAATGCAGCAGGTCGTTATCTTTCTTATAGCACATGTCTGAATTGCTTTAAACATTTATATTACCTCCTGTCCATCACAGTGAGTCAAACTGTTCAAAACAATCAGCTGTACAAGACAAAATGAGATACAAATGCTACTTTGGATAAACACAAAAGCCGGTCTGAGTTAGTTTGCCCCTTCGCCAGGTCATATCAATAAGCTGCCAGTTTGTCCCATAGCCTTATTGTCCTATTTTTAACTTTCTATCATACTTTATTTCTATTAACTCTAGTTCTGATCTCTGTTTTGGTCAGTAAACACAAATTATCAGTGAATTGTGTCCCTATGCAGAGATAGTCAGCAGAAACAGGATGCAGGTTTTACAGAAAACTCTACAGAAACATTTGAGCAGACTGCCAAAAAAAAGATAATGATAACATGTTCAGGTAAAGTGTGGTTAGAACATGATGACAGCTCTCTAAATAAGATCTTTTTATCTCACAGAAACTCAAAATACTACTGAAACAAGCGAAAAATAAAAATTAGTAAAAAGGAGCGCTTGGAAAATCATGGCTGATATGGGGAATTAGGTGGAAAACAGTCCTATGCTACTGGCTACTGTTACTCTGGTAATTGTTACAAAATAGAGCATGTATTTAAGTTCATATAAGAAGAGTGTAGAAATAAGGGTCTTATATATATATATATATATATATATATATATATATATATATATAAAAGTATATAAAGCCTATGACTCAATGCCACACACTTGGATCATTGAATGCTTAGAGATGTACAACATCAATAGGACTCTAAGAGCCTTCATTGCAAACTCGATGGGGCTGTGGAAAACCACCCTTGAAGCCAACTGCAAACCACTTGCACAAGTGTCCATCAAATGTGGCATATACCAAGGAGATGCTCTGTCCCCACTGCTGTTCTGCATAGGCCTGAACCCCCTCAGCCAAATCATCAACAAGACTGGCTACGGATACCGACTTAAGAATGGGGCCACAATCAGTCACCTCCTCTACATGGATGACATCAAGCTGTACGCCAAGAGCGAGCGAGACATCGACTCACTGATCCACACCACCAGGATCTACAGCACTGACATTGGGATGTCATTCGGACTAGGTATCACTCCCAGAAGGAACAATAGCAGACATTGAGGACAGTTACAAGTACCTGGGAATACCACAAGCAAATGGCAACCTCGATGAGGTCACAAGGAAAGGAGCCACAGCCAAATACCTCCAACGAATAAGGCAAGTCCTGAGAAGCCAGCTCAATGGCAAGAACAAGATCCATGCAATAAACAGCTATGCTATGATTTCCCCCCGCCCCCAAATTCAAGACGCAAGTATACATTTTCTTACTGGTGCACAAAATGAGCCGTGCATGAACATCACCTTGCTCAAAGAACAAAACCAACACAGTGCCTGAACTCGCAACAAATTACGGTATTACTGTATTCTGGCCCCCCCCCCACCCACAATTTCAGCCACATAAAAGAATGTCAGCCCCCAAAAATATATATTTTTACTATTTTACTAATTAAAAATAAATTAAATTTATTTTTTAAGAATTTAAAATTTTTTAATAACTTAATTTTTTTTTTTTTTATTTTAAATTTGTTTTTTGTCGTTTTGAATCCACAAAATACATTTTTGGGGCCAGAATAAAGCATTGCTCAACTTGGCATTGCATAACATGTGGCTAGGATGCTGACTCCCATTCCGTTCCGTGATACACGTGACTCCATGTTGCACATATTCGTCTGACCACTTTCTGTTTTTGCTCAACATATTTAGCATGGATTAAAATATTAAGAAAGAAACCACACGACGTACATCTACGACAGCCGTTGACTACTGCGGGCACTAAATTCCCCGCAGCACTGACTGACCAAGCAATGTAACGTGATCCTCTGCAGCAAGTGATGGCGTGTCATCATGACTTTACACAAGTGTGTCTTTACCTCCGCGGCAGAGGCTTCGCCGAACCCCTGAGACCGACTCTCCCAGGTTAGAACCCAGGTCTGGAAACCACTGTTTTAGACTGTTGGTACGTTTTACAACAATAATGGTTGTAAAATATGGAACTCATGAAAAATAGGAAAAAGTAAAGAGAATAAAAGAAAACGAAACAGACTTAATAAGGAATTACTACTTGACTTATTAGAATTCTCCAATTAAACCAAATTAACCCTGCTGGTACATATTTTTTGTGGAGTCATATGAACCACAGAAAATGACTTTACATTACTATTGATAGTTGATAAAAGGTCTCTCCTGACTGATATGATGGTTTGTCCAAAACATTCCAGAGCAAACAGCAACATTTTGTATTTAAATAAGTTCCAGACATCCAAAACCACAAAGATATGATTTGGCGAAGGGGTGAAATGACCAGCGCCCTATTAAAACACTCTATGGCACATTTATATGCGATTCACACTCAATTACAGGTGGCCTCAGGGTGATTATTGCAGGTCACAGGGGTCACCCCATCACCCTTTGCTTCACTAAAGATAACAGTTTTTTCCTTAACTGAGGGAGAGTTGAGGGGACTTCTAGTGTGAGATGGAACCTCCCTTCCTGCTAGGGCTCTGCCTTTACTGCCCTGACTGTGAGAGTGTAAATTAGCAGGACTCTGGCAGAAAACATCATCAGATTCCTCATCCTTCATCCCAAAGGTGCTATGAGGAAGACAGCAATCTGATCGCAAAGGAAGATGACACTGCCTACTGTAGAGTTCTGGATTCTGTGAAACTAAATCGCAACTTAGGCCGTCCGACACAGAGCAAAAATACTGTGGTTGCTTGTTGACTTGACCGAGACTCTGGACATTTTCAGCAATTTCATCTGTCACAGTTACTTCTGATTTCTTCTGCCATGAAAGGCTCATAACATCGTTACAGTCTCTGACCTCTGAGGCAGACAGGACTATTTTCTTTCTATAATATGGTGAACAGTTCCTCTCAGAGTCCTGCTCTGAGGACACAGCAGGTCTGTTTTCTCTGTACGTTTCAGGCAACTCAAGGCTATCCGTATCCAAAGATCTGCTCCTCCTGTCCAGGGACAGTGGATTCGATGTGGGCTGGCTGACCCTTGTTAGACCCAAATGCCGCGGGAGACTAGCAACAGCCCATGTTTTGCTGATCAGATTCTGTTCATACAGGTCCAACATTTGATAGTCGCATTCAGCAAATGCGTCTTTTTGCAGGTAGCTTTCTTCAAACTCCTGATAAGGCGATGAAACATCCTCCTCCAACTCCATGTGGATCTGCTCGTCGTACTCCCCCTCGTTGCGAAGGTCTACAACATCAAATGTGACAATCGTTGGTAAGGCCTCCATGTTTGAAGTGAAGGCGGAGCTCCTTTCCAAGTCGTCCACCTCACTACCCAGCTTGCAGAGCAACTGAGTGTGTTTTGTGTAATCCACAAGTGCTTGTGAGAAACACACAGTCTGCCCATCCTCTATGTAGCTGTTGCATTCTTCAGACTGAGAATTGATATTTTTGTACGGTAGCGCCACAGGCTTGTTTTCTTCAATATGCTCCTCTTTGGGTTCACAGAAGGTCTCAAAGTCTGGGTCCGATGCGCTTCCAAACGATAAACCACTGCATCTTTTCTCGCGTTCTGCATTTATGGGTTTTGTTCTTTTGTCGGCAGAAGCAAGCATCGTCTCTTTTTCATCAAAAATCTTGGCTTTGAGATTGTTCGTGTTGACTAATATTTGCGGTTTTAAATTCAAATTACAGTTTTCATTCGCTCCGATATCCTGATTTTTACTGAATGAACTTGACATCGCAAGAAAATCATCTTTGTACAGATCAGCACTTATTTGTAAGTGACTCATTTCTAGGACAAAGGCAGGATCTGTTGAGTTGACTGACTCCGTTAAGTAGTCACCGTGTTTTGAACTGGGAAGTTGGGATTTGTTTTCATAATGAGGGCTGATGAGACTCTCATCAGGTGCAAAAAGTTCATAGAGGGCATCCCCACTGTAACTATCCCTGGGTAATCTGCCAGACCTTTTTTCTTGCCCTTCGTCCGGCCCTGGCGTGGTGGAATCATAATATCCCTCATCGCTATTAGGGCCTGACTCCTGATGCTCGCTTTCAGGGGTTAGAACATCAGCTATGGATGACGTGTCCATCGATCCAGCCTGCTGCGTGCTGCTGCTGTTGTTCAGTGCATCTGCATTGTGCAAACTTGTCAACTCAGCGGTCATCTCTGTCTGGTCCGGATCACAGCTGTAGCAGACAACCTCTGATGTGTTGCTTCCCCAGAAATCCTGAAGACATGTTCCATCCAGATCTTCTGGAGAGGCCATCTCTTCGCCGCCACCCTGGTAGGTGAGATAACAAGAGGCCCTCTTCCCTCCATTTCTGCTCCTCTCTCCAGACACCGTGCTCTCCGTGATGCTGTCATCCTCTTGATCTGCGATGATGTCCCCACAACCTGTGAGGGAATCAAAGCTCTTCAATGATGAAACTTCTCCAAAAATTAGGTTCAGCTGATCCGACGAACCGGCAGGTGTTTCGGACGCCGTCTGAAGTTTCAGACAAGGTTCGCTGGAACGTCTGGAACTGTTGTCGTAACCACCAGAAGGTACTGCCTTTAAATTAGAGTCCTTGTGTTTGTCATCAGACAGCTGAGGCTCAGACTTTGGGCATTCTTTCTCCATGCTGCTCTCCTTTGCTTTTGCATCTGCACGACTACATTCAAGACCAATGGAAATGTCACACAGATCCTCTACAAACTCAGGCACGTCGTGATCACATTCTAGGAACTCTGTGGCACTGCGGTTTGTGTTGCGTTGGACAACAGGCACCTCTTTCTTGCATTGAGGAGAAGACACAGTATTAGCTTCACTTGTATCATTATTTCTCTGGCTTCTGTGATGCCTAAAACTCTGAAAAAGACTCCTTAAGCCTTTTCTCTGTCGACCAAGGGTCAGTGACTTCTGGTCAGGGGTTGGGTGATTACATTCCCCTTGACAGCCACTGTGGAGATCTCCAGCTGCATCCCTGTGGCTGTGGTACTCAAAGTCTCCAGAAGAGACATAACCACTCCTGAGAGCGTTGTCATCGCTGACCTTACAAAGCCCATCGTGTGTCCTGCTTTTGCCAATTCCTTTCTTAGAGGGCCACTTGTTCTGATTTTTGTTCCTCCCTCCAAAGAAACTCGGTAGAATACAGATACTTTTACGAACACCGAAAAATGTCAAGGCAGTCCTCTTGAATTTTCCCGCTTTTTGAGACTTTGCAGTTTCGTGGACTGGATCTGACGGGAGCTCTTCCGTGATACCATCAGGCTCAGTTGGCAAAGGCTGACTGGCAGCAGGAGGTGAATCCTTGCTGTCACTTGGTAGGTCCTCCACCTTGCGAGAACTCATGGTTGCGTCCTTCAGAAAGAGGAGTGTTTGACAGAAGTCATAACAGGTTAAACATCAGCTGATTTCCTCCATCTGAGCCCTGTATGCAGAAAATCAGAACCAAAATCAGAGCTCATGTTACACTAGAATTTAACTGTAAGAGGAAAATGTCAAGAACATGATAGGATACAGTCAAGTAGATGCGAAGGTTGGCCACCAGTGGGGCTGGGACATTATAGAAAGTGGATACAATAATGAAGAAGGAACAATGCTTTCAGTATACACTAATGTAAAACAACATCCAACCCATGACAAAACTGGTTTAATTTTCATTTGCTTCTTTTGACTTTTCATATCTCTGCTGCTAGCACCCTCTGCTTTTCTGTCTTGCTGCTTTATAACTGATTCCCCCCCATAAAATAGTAATTTGAAAGCATCACTAAAGAAGAGAACTTTTGAAAACAAAAGACAATGAAGAGTGTAGAGGAAACGGTTTGGGCCCTGTTCCTTACATAGTTTCCAGTGAAGAGAAGTTCACTGATTGTTTTTTAAGGGAGGGGATGCATTCCAAAAAAAAAACGGCTTATCTCAAGTTACAGAAAAGGGCATGTCTAAAATGACATAAATAGGCTTTTAGTGTGTCTGCAAGTCGGTCAGACATTCTCAATATGGAACAACTAGATGGTGCATGAACTGTTTTCATTCATTTTCAACTTTATCATTTGCTACATTGAAGAGTAGTTTATTAGTAGTTTGAATAATATGTGTCACATTTTTTGTTTTACCTTCTTAAATACCTGTACAAACAGATCATAATTCATTTGAATTTCAAGTTTTGAGAAAAGCTAAAAAAAATAAAACCTTTTAAAGTCAAAATTTGTACAATGTAATGTCCTTTTAATCATGCCTATTAAGTGTGGCCAATAGGTATGACAAAATAAAGACTTTTTTCCAAATTTTATATGTTTGGTCACTAATTTCTGTATGTAAATTAATAGAACATGCAGAAACTGTGACTCTTTTGGGAAAATTAGAAAAATTCTAGACAGAATATATCCAAGATGCATATAATTAAAATGAAGCTGAGGCATTTTCAGTGCTAGTGTGAACACCAAGGGGATATGAGGCTACCAAAAACGCTACTATTCTGCAGAATAAGTAGATATAAAATTGAATAAGCCTCTACCAAATTAATTTAAAACAAAACCTAGTAAAAGATAGCTATTGATTGTTTTCTCCTTTTTTTCAATTATGTTCATAATTTCTATACGGTTTACCCAACTCCAGAGATCGGACATTAGTCACAGTGTCTATCATCAAATGTATTCAGCAATAAAGAAAAGCTGCTAGTCCACCTATTTACACTACTTTGATTTATTATACGTCATATCTTAAGAACATTTTGAAATTCAAATTCATACGATTTTTTGTTACAATATTTAAGTTTTAAAGGAAAGCTAATATACTTTTAAATTCAATTAAAGTTTGTAAAATATAATGTACCTTAATGGTGAACAGATGACGAAATACACCCAATTGTAAGAAAGTGGTAAGTAAATAAAACTCTGTTTCGAGTTAAATAAATAAATAAAATAAATGCGCAACATATCCTACCTATATGCTTCCAATACACTAAATGCGTAAATGCAATATTTTACGCGGTTCCCCTTATAAATAATCTGGGGGTTTAGCCACAGCGTGAATACATGCAGCAGGTAATAAAAAGCAACAGGCGATATGTTCAAATGTAGCAGCTGAATTTTACCAAAGTCTTGCGTTATAAAGGTGAGTCGACGTCCACAATTTTTGTAAACGGAACAAAGAACCACAGTCAGCTATAAAAGGCAGCAAAACAAAAGCACAAAGCTAACAGACCTACAGTGAAGTAAGCAAACTTACCGTATAATCAAGTGCGGTCGCACGGGTCAGGTAATGGTTTTAGGTGTCGGGTATGTGTTTCAGTGTCTCATTTCTGTGAAGGCTAACTTGGCTTTAACTTCTGTACACTACCTGGTCTGAGGTTTAGCCAGGCCTCGCAGCAGCTTTACCAGCAAAAGGCTTCAGTTGGTCCAAGCTGCATTTAGCTAGCTGTGGTGCTTGCTAACAACGTTGAGGACACTCACCGCCCCCCATCCCGAGTGTCCCCTCTTCGGTTTCTGGCTGTGATGCGAGTCTGTAACAGCTGCTGTTGCTGGCGGTGCCGCTAGCCTCTTTAACTCTACCAAACCTGAATTGAGGGCAAAATGCAGATCAGCCGTAACCGCGAATCGACACCAGGGTCTGACTCAGCCAAGCACGCTAAATTCTCCTGCTGGGTCAAATTAAACACACACAAGTGAAATCCTGCATGGTGACTTCCTCCCGACTTCAGTGATTTTTTTTTTCTCCAAAAATCTCCTTTCCTGGCTCTCCATTCCACAGCGCATGTCAATGACGCAACATTCTTGTAACCATGGGAACGCATAGTGCTATAAAAATAAAAAGACCAATGAGACAAGATGAGCCCTCAAAAATATAAATAAATATATAAAGGCAGCACCCACTTTTCTTTTTTTTTACTAAAAAAAGTTGTTTTATACCTGTACAAAAAAATATGTATTTCCAGCCTACTTAGATTTCATGTTTTTGAGTGTGTTGTGCAGATTATTAGCTTGAAAATACCAGTCTTTCATTTGACTTTGCATAACTAAGGTTATCAACAAACAAAAAACAACAAAAGCAAGTTATAATGTGAACCTTGCAGATTGGAGATGGGCTGAAAGTAGCCAAAAATGGACTGCCAAAGAGTTACATGAAGGCCTTCCAAATAAATAAATCAAGTGGCTCCACAGAAAGCTCATCATAAATCCAAGCCCACTCTCTGAGCAAAACCCCTTATGATTCCCACAAACATATTTTGACTGGGAATTATGCTGCAGGAGTACCTGGAAAAGTTTCAAGCCAGTTCATGCCATTTATAGAACACAAGCACGTAGACTTTTATATAGACTTAGACCTTTATATTACATTTATACATATATTTACAACCTTTTTTTTCATTTCGACAAAACTGAATGAATCTTAGGCTACAATGAGCTGAAATATCACAGTGAGCATCGCATGATCAAGTACAATTTACATTTCTGTCCTGCAGAGTGCAACTGCGCGCTTCCTCTAGAAAAAACAAGCATCTCATGGCTTCATGGCTTTTGTGTGACTTTCATTTCAGTGCTGTTTTAAAAAGTGCTTTTCCATTAATTCTTTACGTGAATGTCTTACTCTTTTTTTTTTCAATATTGATCTTCTTGAACTCATGTCCTTGTTAATGATTGCATCCTCAAACGTTGTGTTCAGGTTTTCGACTGCCTGACGTCCTTCCACTCCATTTTTGTGTTCTGTAGGGCCTGAGTCTTCTTCTCGTCCACTTGCACGTAGTCCACTTTGTACTCATCAGCGAGAAGTGGCTTCTGCTGGACGTAACAAAGGAGAGAGGGAGATGGTAAAGAGATATGGTGAGATTCTTTTTTGCTACATTAACAGTGTTCAGTGCTTTTGTTAATTTTCTTTAAGTAGCATTAGGGTGTTCACGAACCAGGATTGTGTCATTAATCCCCCAGTTAGCAACACGATTTTTGGAGATTGACACAATTGTAATACAGACCTTCTCACATGGATCCAAATACCAATTGTGGACTTAGGAAAATTCTCCTTTTTCAATTTGCAATAAACATTTAAAGCAATTTTATCAGCTTCCAGGCCAAGTGCTTGTTGACCACTGCAGGTTGGACATTAACAACTCAAAAGTACTCTACACAGCCCCACTCATATGTCTCTCCCTCATGCAACAACGTCAATTTGCTCCAGTAATCATACAGTGGGACATGCACTTATAATTCCAAGAAGAACACAAAATCAATGATAATAGGAATAAAGAACAAACAATTCTGCAGCCATTAGTAGAATAAATTCCTGAAACTTAATTTGTCAGCCAAAACATACCTTCTGTACAGGGGAGGGGGATGCAGAGTTGAAATCCAGTGACAGATAATCAAGGTTTGAGCTTCTCTTCCAGTGCTGAGCTGCTCCATCCAAGGGGAGACAGAGTGATTGTCTCAATTCCTGCCAGAGAAACGATGCAGCGTCAACCTCAATATTCTAGACTGAATTAACTGTGTTTTATATTACTGATACAAGAAATGCACCACGAAACTCAAATATATATTTTTTTTCTCCTGGTCAATAAACACTTCACAGTAAGTACTATCACACCAAAGTGTTGGCACTGTCACTGAGTGAAGAACTGGGCTCATTTTAATATCAGCAAGTTGCTTAAAATGAAGGAGAGGATGCAAAAAAAACCAAAAAAAAAACAAGAACGTCATTACAACCACACTGTATTTTCTAAGGCATGCATGGGCATTCCTGACATTTATTCATGCTACCACAGAGAGAGAGAACAAAACTTTCTGCAGACAATATGAATAGGAAGGTGGAAACTCTTTATGGGGAAGTTCCTTTTTCATGTTCTGAATTTCTGTCGTGAGACATGCTTCATTTTGAAATGCTGGCAGCTTTTTAGAAACCTGAGTCAGTGAATCCTGTTAGCTATGTGATAACCTAATATGCTGAAGACAGTTTCAAATGTAAACTCAATTAGACATTTTTTTCCCTGTTTGAAATTAGTACTACAATCCTATTTTGCAGCCACTGCTGTTTCACACGCGCAGCTTGACATTCTTTCTCGTAATGATATCGATAAATCTGGAAAAAATGTTGACAGTTTCGTTCTTATATCTAAGATATAAAGAAGAATCTTGACTGGTAAAAAAAAATACCTACAAAATCTTCCATGAAATACAGATTAGTTCATTTTCATATTAAATGGCTACAAGATAGCCCACATTTATTTTATATATATATATATATATATATATATATAGTTTATTTATTATATATAATAAGCAGCACATAGCAACCATTGGTGTAAATCTAAAACAATTCTGTGTTGCGATTATTTTAAAAAGTTGAAGCAAATCTGCACACATTGAAGAGCAAAGCAACAACTATAAACCCACAGTTAGATTACAGAACAGAAATCTAGGATTTCTTAGATATGTGATGCTTCAACTGATTATGGTCATATTGTTCATATTATTACTGTTTAAAATTAACTTTTTTTTCTTAACAACATGCAGACCAAGTGAACTCCCACAGCAAGCTTTCATGGTATAAATAAAATACTGATAATTTCTTCTGAATATTAGTCAATTCACGGAGTCATAGCGTTCACTTTATGCATACATGGTTCTTAAAACACTATCAAATCCAGGTTTTACCAGTGCAGAGCAGTTTGTCACTTCGTCCGTTGAACTTTCTCCGTTTTCAAGCCTTCTGTCTAGAGGTAACTGGGTCAGTGGAAAGCTGTGATTAAAAACAAAGAGGAACATAATCTAGATTAAAGAAAAAATACCCAGCCACAGAGAATATTTCATTCTATCCTATTATTTATTTATTTATTGTATTTTTGGTGCTTGTAAGGTGTAATTCCAGTTCATATGTTTAGAGTAAATTTATTTAAATTGTATGTGCCTTTGTCATATCTAAACAAAGTTTTCTAATAGATCTACAATCTGAATTTGTAGATGTGGAGACGCGCTTTTGCTCTCACCATGAATCAGTCATTACTCTGCATAGCGGGATATGAGTGGGAAATTCAGTAATTGTCGAAAGGCCTCTCAGGTCCAGAGGTGGAGGTCGAACTGTGGATTCAGAAATTTCACAGTTAGCTATTTGTCAGCTTAACACAGTTGAAAAGTATTCAAATCCTTTGACCGTTTTCATATTTTGATTTTGTTTTCCCCCAACCAAAAACTTCAATAGGCCAACACAAAGTGGTGCATATTTGTGAAGTGGAAGAAAAAATTATGTAGAGCTGTCAAAATAGTTTTGAAATGAAAATCCAAAATCTGTGATGTGTGTACAACTAGATATAGTTATATACCTAAAATAAAATCTAGTGCAACCAGTTACTGCCAGAAGTACCCTAATTAGTGTGTAATTTAAGCTCAGTATAAATCCAGCTGCTATGAACGCTTTAGAGGCTTCATGACAAGATGAGGCAAAGCTTGTTCTGCTGGAATTATTGCTGCACAATGACTGCTGGAAAAGGGACATGTTTTGCTTCCAGCTGCACTACAGAATTGGAGAAAATGCATGTGTCCATGCATTTTCTCCAATTCACAAAAAACAGAGCTACTCCTGTGTCTCGCATTACGTTATCCACAACATCTGAGTATGTACTCTAAGAATTGTAATAAACTGAAAGTGATAGGCTACATTGAGAAGTTGCGGCATTTGTGGAAAAAAATGTTAGAACACTCTGACTTTACCAACATCGTCTGAATATTTTTTTTACATCTTGAGAGAGGTGCTTTTCCTGTAGTCTCACAGAGTATATCTTGAAAAGGTCTTCGTGGTGAATTATTGTGCTGATGTAAGCTGCTCAATTTCACATTATGGCACAATGTCCCGAAGCGAAGCAGAATCCTCAGAATCTGAATTAATAAAAATATAAATGTACGTCAGATTCACGTCATTTAATCTTTCAGTGGTTGTGGCTTGATGGTTGTTCAGGAAGCTCCACTTCTGCTTCTGGGTCAAAGATGTATGTTTGTACCACTGTGGATCTGTTTGCAGCTATTTTGTCTGAGGTGCTAATCGCAAACACTGAGTAGGGAGGGGTTGGGCAGGAACTTATTTGCATAATTGTGATGTAGCCCTAAAACAGAGCATTCCTTAATGAGCTCAAAACAGGCAGAACTGATCAGGTAAAATCTCAATATCTGAGAATAAATTTGTGTAGTAAATGTCATTTTTTGTACAGCCCGCTAACCTTAAAGGATCACCTTTAAGGTGATCTACAGCTGCAAAACTATAATGACTCTTCATCATAAGTCAAACTAACCACATTTTTATGTCTAATTTTAGGCTTTATGCCAAAGAAAAACATGCATGCTTTACAACTAGAGAATACATGCATTTCCTTTAAGAGAACTCTCCAAAATTGAAGGGAGAAAATCTCCCCAATCTCCAAAAAAATATGAACACGCAAACAATTCAAACTACCAAAATGTGTCGTTTTCATTGTTGTTCCACCACATAATTATGTGCTACTTTGTGTTGGTTTGTCAAATAAAACCCTGATAAAATGCCTTGATGACAACATGTTCAAGGTGTATGAATACTTTTGAGAGATGCTGAATAATTCCCAGACGATGCTTGCCATGATAAAAATTAAACCTAAATTAGTTTTTCCATTTCTTTCTCTCTCTTTTCACACTCGGACCTGAAATTCTTCTCACCTCTCCGTAAGCGAGGCTTGAGGTGCCGGTGAACTGGAGGCGGTGCAATTTCTCCAGGTTGGCACATTACTGGGCTGAGTGACGAGG